ACAGGAGTCCTTTGCTAAAGGCAAACGCACGGGGATAGAAATCAGCTTGGTGGTTGCCGAGGACCAGAGGTAAAAGGTGAGGCCAAGGGGCACAAGGAAACTTTTTGGGTGATGTAGACGTTCTTTATCTTGATTGTGGTGTTGGTAAATGGCTGTATACATTAAAATGGGTGAATTTTACTTTATATACATTATATCTCAAAAAATCTGATTTTTAAAACGGAATGCATGGCAGACTTGCTGGCCAACGGCGGTTTCGAGAGCAAAGTGAAGGCAGTTCACTGCACCGGAAGCTGATACCCCTAAATCTATGCGGAGAAGGGCCGGACGCCGGCCTCCCGGGACAGGTGCGCAGACCAGACTCCGGGCGCCCCTGAAGCCTGCCCGCGCGCGCCCCCTGGCGGGAGGTGAGATCCTGACAGCCAGGGACCGGGCGCCTGCAGCCGGGAGCGCATGAGGCTCAGCTACCTGCGGAAGCCAAGGGGTTGTGGGCGAGGGGCCCGGGTCTGGTACCAGCTGCGGGGCTTGGGAAGAGCTTGCAAAAGAGCCCCACTATAGAGTCAGCTTCGTACACACCGCAAGCCCAGAGAGGCTGCGCGCCGGCTCAGGCGATGCTGGTTGGAAGACCTTGCTTGCCCCTCTCCCCCACCTCGACCTGAAGGAACCAGCATCAGTCTAGTGGGTGAGGAGGAGGATGTCGGGGTGCTGCAGCCGGCAGGCAAGTCTGGAAGGGGTCGATCACACACACACTGCCTCGTGCACACGCCTTTTTTCCTGTTGCCGGAGGCTTAACCCAAAACAGACCGAGAAGGTGCAAGGGAGAGGTTTTTGGTTTTATTTTTTTGCGGGGGGGGGAGGAGGCCTTGTACTTTTTTTGCATTTTTCATTGTGGTAAAATATACCTAACATAAAATTTACCATGTTAGCCATTGTTTTATTTATTTATTTATTTATTTATTTATTTATTTATTTATTTGAGAGAGAGAGAATGAGAGACAGAGAGCATGAGGGAGGAGGGTCAGAGGGAGAAGCAGACTCCCCGCAGAGCAGGGAGCCCGATGCGGGACTCGATCCTGTGACTCCAGGATCATGACCTGAGCAGAAGGCAGTCGCTTAACCGACTGAGCCACCCAGGCGCCCTAGCCGTTGTTAAATGTACAATTCAGCGGCACCAAGTTCACTTACACCACCGTGCATCCTTCTCCAGAAACTTCATCATCCCTGACCGAAGCCCCTTGCCCACTAAACACAAACTCCCCACAGCACCCCCACCCCTTGCAACCACTATCCTCCTTTGTCTGCATGCATTTGGCCAACCTGGATGGCTTTCTTCATTGCAATTACTGAAATGAGACTTTTGTAACTTGAAGTGACCTGGGAATGTTTGCTGACAGAGACTGTCCAGAAAACACACGGGCTCGCCCTGTGTTCAGTTCAGGGGTGGTTATGGGCTATCCCCGCAGAGCAAACTGCTCCTTCGTTTTAGAGATCTTGGTTGATTTCAATAATTGACCGTTTGGGCCACTAGTCTTTTCTCGCCTGCATTTTAAGTTCTCACTGTTATGTTTTAAATTCACCAATAAAGAGTGAGCCCCAGGCCCCATCCTCAACCCCAAAAAAACAGAAGCTCAGACCCCCTCACTGTGTGGCCCAGGTGTGCTATGTAATTTCCAGGTCCTGTACGTAATAGACCTTTGTTTCTGCAGTTTTCTTTCTTTTTTAAGATTTTATTTATTTATTTGAGAGAGAGAACGAGCAGTAGGGAGGGCAGAGGGAGGGAGAGAGAGAGAGAGAGAAGCAGACTCCGTTGAGCAGGGAGCCCAATACGGGGCTCCATCCCAGGAACCGGAGATCATGACCCGGGACAAAGGCAGACGCTTCACCAACTGAGCCAACCAGGTGCCCCTGTTCCTGCAGTTTTCTGATGGTTATTGAAGGGTGTCTCACAATATGGTAAGATCCACAAAGGCCGGTCCAGCCGCAGCATTGCTGGTTGACAGGCTGAGACCAACAGCAGACACCATCGTTGTCCCCATCCGACTTGTAGACCACAGTGGCATTCAGAAATTATTAGCTTCGCGCCAGCATTTAATAATCCCAGAAAGACATGACTATTTCATTTCCCATGTGCGCAATTACTATGGCAAATGGCATACACTCATTCTAACACTGCTTCCTCTCTCTGTTCAGGTTGTTCCTGACTTGTTCAAAACCATTTTCAGTGGTTCCTGCAACTGGAATCACCTGCAGTAATTTTTTTTTTCTTAATACCAATATTCTGGGCACCTCACAGAGAATCACCTTGAGAGGAAAAGCCAGTTCTTCTACTCATTGCCTCCCAGTCTGTAACCAGAGTCAAATCTGAGCGTGTCCCGGGGGTCAATTATAAAGTCAACCCGAAGAAAGGTGTGTGCACGCACGCACCCGGCAGGCCTGAGCTGGAGGGACGCTGAGCAGGAAAGCCTTCCCCGGAGCTTCAGGAGCCCGGAGGACTGCTGGCCGCTGGCCCCACACCCTTCCTTGCCTCTGGGACCCCTTTGGTTGGATGGAGCAACCAGAGCCTACAGGATGTGCTTTGTGGACTGGGGAACAACCAGGCCCCAGAGGAGGTCCCCGTGCACGCCTGAGAAATGGGTCTGTGGGGCATAATTCCAGCAGCAGTTCTCTGGGGAGCTTTCAAAGCCTCATGATGACTGCGGCTCACTTGCAGAGATACTGAGTCAGCTGGTGCTTGATGGTGGGGGAGGGGCAGACCAGGATCGTGGTATTTCAAAAAATCGACGGAGTGTGAAGAGCACAGGGTGATATATGGAAATGTTGAATCACTAAATGCTACACCCGAAACTAATATTACACTGTATGTTAACTAACTGGAATTTAAATAAAAACTTAAAAAAAAATTGACAGAGGGGCACCTGGGTGGCTCAGTGGGTTAAGCGTCCGACGCTTGATTTCGGCTCCGGCCATGATCTCAGGGTCCTGAGATCGAGCCCAGCTCAGAGCCTGCTTAAGATTTGCTCTCTCTCTCCCTCTGCCCCTCCCCCCCTCAGCCACAGGTGCACACACACCTGTGCTCGATCTCTCTCTCTCTCTCTCTCTCAAAAAGAAAATTGACGGAGTGGTTCCTGTTGCAAAAATCACTAAAGGGCTAGATAAGGCAGCTGTCCCCCATGGGAAACCTTTTAAACATACAGATGAATCACCCACCTGAGGATTCTGACTTAATTATTTAATTGTTCTGCCTGGATATTAGGAGCGTTTTAGCTCACCGGGTGATTCTAATGTGCACCCAAGACTAGCAGAAGGAATGAATGCATCTTCAGTCCTACACTCAGAGGGAGAGCCACCGGTGAGTGTGTGCGTGGGGTTGCTGGGTGTGAATTATCCAGACCGCTTTAGCATCGTGAGATTGAAGCCCTAAAGCACAGAGGGAGTAATTGCTTCCTGGACCCAGTTCCCGTGGGGGTTGGGGGCGGGTTTTCTGACACCAGTGAGTTCTGGCCTCCACTCATTTCTGACCCTGCGTACCCGGAGATAGGGTCAGAGTCCCCCGGGTAAGACTGTCCCCTCTCTTGCTTCAGACCCCAGTAGCAAGTGCGTTGTTCCCAGTACTTCTGACCAAATGGCTGTGAATCAGAGGCTCCCGTGCCCCCTCCTCAGGTTCTGTTAATCTGCTAGAGCGGCTCGCAGAGCTCAGGAAACCCATTTACTCATTAGATCACCGGTTTATAATAAAGGGCACGACTCAGGGACGGCAGGTGGGAGGGAGGCCCAGGGCGAGGTGTGGGGCAGGGGCAGGGGCAGGGCCGCCGTGCCCCCTCCAGGAGCCCCATCCACCAGCACCCCCGCGCGCTCACCCTATTCTTTTTGGCTTTCGTGGACGCTTCATTACTTAGACACCATCGATTAAACCACTGGCTTTTGGTGATCGATTCGACCTCCAGCCCGTCAGTCGTCCGTCCGCATTGGTCAGTGGGGGGACTGGGAGTTCTCCCGGCCTCCAGCCTCCCCTTAGGTGGGGTCCAAATGCCACCTCATTAGCAGACAAAAGGCACCTTTAGGTCTCTCAGCATTTAGGAAGTTGCAAGGGTCTTAGGAGCTCTGCGCCGGAAACAGGATGACGAAACCTAGATCTCTTCCTATAAATTGCAGTCCCAGGAAGGAACGCACGTCTCTGGGGTGTCCAGTGTGTACCAGGCACCAGCCTAAGGGTTTTCAGCGAATCTCCTGGTTTGATTCACACCTCAGCTCTGGGAGGACAGATGTTGTCACTCCTGTTTTATGGAAGTGGCGTCAAGACTCCCCATAGCTACACCACATACCCACAGCCACGTGGTGAGTCCATGGCAGAAACTGGACAAGATCTTAGGAAGGAAGGACCGACCCTCATTCTGAGATTGTAACCTTCCCTGGTTTATGAAATGAGAGCAGATGGTCTTTGTGACCCCCTCCCACACACACATCCCCTTGGCAAACAAAAAGGAGGCGACCCTCTGCTGGTATCTCCATATGGTTGGTTCAGTTTTTATTGGGCCGAGAAATCAGAAACCCCGGAAGCCAGCTTAGAGTGAGCTGAGGGGAAGTGGGAGGCAGCAGGTGTCCATGATTTTTTGTGGGTCAGTGCTACTCAAATTGTGGTCCCAGGATCACCCGGGAGTTAGGAAAGCAGAGTCAGAACTCAGATCTCACAAATACCCGGAGTGATTCCAATGCACCCGAAGTGGAGACCACCCACCTGCTTGTGAAGAGGCCAAGAGAAAGGGGAGGGGCGGAGAGCCACGCGGCATTGGATGATTTCTGTGATTGTTGTTTCAATGTAGAAAATACTTGAGCTTTAGGGCGCCTGGGTGGCTCAGTCGTTAAGCATCTGCCTTCAGCTCAGGTC